AAATGAATGCGCGTTGACTTTGTCTATTTATTTCTCTTCTACTATAGGAGATTTTTCAGAACAGTTTTGTCCATTAGAGAGAGGTTTTTATTGCCCACCTTTTGATATATTTTTTCTATGTCTACCTTGTTTTTTTAGAGAAAAAAAGTTTAGAAAATGCTCGACCAAAAATTTCGAATGCGAGCTTGTATGTGGTAAGACTTCAAGCAAGTCCTAACGACGCACTTGGGTGGACCTAATGACCCACTCGGCTCACAGGGGCAGCGGGCGGACCTAGCGACACACCTCGAGGGGAAAAGTAGTGAAAGAGGCTCTTTTGGCGAAGTTTTTGCGTACAGTTGGCAACAAGTCATTGCTAGTAATGGAGATTATCTTTTAGATTGACCTTGTTTAATTTCGTTTTTATAATAAAAAATTTTTTACACTCAAACGCGCATTCCTTTCCGAACAACCTAATAATTGTATCCTTATGGTGTATTGAATGCGATGTGGCTTTTACGATGACTTGAGCACTGAGAGAGAGAAGGGCAGCTTATGTACAGGTCAGTGTTCTTATCCCTGGAGACGAATCTCGTATCATTTCATCCGCTCCCAGAAAGTAGGACGCTCAATCAGTCTCTCTTGGGGCCGATCCTATATTTGACTGCCGGACCGCGTAAGTGATAAGCGTACCACTTGCCGTACCAATAAATCGCCTTTTTTACCACATCTGAAGTAGTTATGCTATTTGAAACCACTAGACCAACGAGTATTCTGCACTTCCCTACAGGTCTTGCCTGTTAAAGCACAATATAAGCACAAATTCGTGGGGAAGGTTGTATCGTTCGCGCTAACAGTGTCCAGACTTCGCAACGGCGGCGCTTCGGTCGCGCGTTCGGGCGATCGATCGCGCTAGTGCTAGCGTACGATTGTGTAGCGCGACTGATTCGATCGCGCTCCAATGCAAAAATCGACTGGACGGATGCTAACTCACAGCCATTTTCGCTTACTTTTTCCTTCTTTCTCCTCCCGTTAGCTTCTCGCTTGTTTTTTCACCTTCCTACCACTATTTCTTTAATCTGTTCCTAATGTTTGTCGGTTATTATGCTTGTTACCTTTAACATATTGAAATTTTCAGATACATTGGAATTTTTCGGATGGACGGCCGTGTTGAGTGCGCGCACTTTCTATATTTCTTAGGTGGGTTCTTCAGGTTTTCTGTAGTTTTGGTTATCTTTTTCATTACTATCATATTGTGTTTAGTTTGGTCGGCAATTCAGCAGTTCAGCAAAAAATAAGGATGAAAAAGATAACCAAAACTACAGGAAACCTGAAAACCCACAGAAATAGAGGAAGTGCGCGCACTCAACACGGCCGTCCATCCGAAAAATTCCAATGTATCTGAAAATTTCAATATGTTAAAGGTAAACAAGCATAATAACCGACAAACATTAGGAACAGATTAAAGAAATAGTGGTAGGAAGGTGAAAAAACAAGCGAGAAGCTACAAGGAAAAAGTAAGCGAAAATGGCTGTGAAGTTAGCATCCGTCCAGTTCGATTTTTGCATTGGAGCGCGATCGAATCAGTCGCGCTACACAACCGGCCGCTACCACTAGCGGCGCGATCGATCGCCTAAACGGCCCGCGTTTAGGCGATCGATCGCGAAGTCTGAAAGCTGCCTAAAATACACGCCCTTTCTTTCGCAGGAAAAATTACAACTGCATGTACGCAGTTGAATTTCATATTGCAAGCATGATGAATATATTGCCTTTCGCCAACGCGTTTGTATATTAAACAGTAGCTGCCGCGGCTGAGGAGACGACTGAGGGATGCTTACCTAATATAGAGATCATATTTCGCGGCTTGCACCATTCAACCGTACGATTTCAGAGGCGAGTGTGGCAGACCGCGCTCCATCGCTAATCAGTGGACAGTGCAGCTTCCAGTTCAGTCAAGGTCAAGATGAATCTTTTTCTAACGTTGCAGTACGCCCGGACAGTAGCGTCCCACGATTAGCGCGGTCAGTTGCAATCGCGTAACAGTAGTTGCTACGAATGAACGCGGCCTAATGGTTTCAGCATGAACCACATGACTTCATTTCGATTTCACCACAGGAATATCTAGCACTAGAGTCTGAAATGAGGCACGGGTTTGAGGACAACCCACTGTGGGTGTGTCCAACTGGCTTGTGAAATAAGAGCATTCCTGCTGAGTAGTTCGCCACTTAGCCTGTGAAAAATGTTTCATGTAAAACTCTTGGCTGGGCTCCAAAATATGAGAAGTGCTTCTGCTGAATTCACTTCTATTTGCTCTGGGATTCGTGCATTTTTCCTCATTGTTGGATTAAAAACTCATCTATTGTAGACGGAGGTAGTATAGTTAGCACGCGCACTGTCCGGGGTCAGTCCCCATATCGACCGCCCACGCCAAGGAAGCCTTCTACTTCCCAAAACTGCAAGCTGGTACCAGCTTCGTCTGCGAGGATACGAATACTGACTTGTGCCTGGGCTGGTCCTCGCAAGTCAATGTGTAGGCCTCATCGCGCTCAATATGTGAGCCACTACGAGCCTGAATGGGAGTAGAAAGGGTACCACATCCCAAAAAAAGATTGAGGGGCGAAGACATTATTCTATCATTTATTAGCAGAAGTGCGTGGGTGGTGATGAATACATGAGAGCATAGTTTAAGTCAACATCCTGTTAATCATCTTTTAATGAAGGGCGATGCATTTAGATGGACCAGAAAACACGTGGACACTTTCGCTGGGAACAAAGAACAGTCGACAAAGGGGGATAGTTAGATGAGCACTTGAGTTCTGAAATAAATCGTATCTGGCTCTATAGAAGTAAATAAATTAATTAGTACAGGGAGAAGCAAAAAAAAGGGAGCTTTTTTCCTCGACTTTCAAAGTTGAGTAAAACATAAGTTACACTTTATTGGATTCTGATTTGAGATTTTCACCACCGAATTCAACAGCACATTGTACACTATCACGATACTCCTGCCACAGCCTTCTGGACGAGCGCCATCGAGAGATTCTGCCACGCGACCGCGATTCGGTGCCTGAGTTCAGCGAGGTCGTTGATTTCTCCGCCACTGTAGACCACCCTGTTGAGCTCCGCCCGAACCCGGTAATCGAGGGGGTTCAGGTCAGGATGACACACTAGATATTCCGTCTTCTGCCCCTCCATTCCATGTGGTGACACCCAATCCTGTAGCAGTACGAAGTTTCCAAGATGGTACAGGCGACGACATGAAAGCAGGATATTCTCCTCGAGTTGGTCGATGTAACCGTCAGCGTTCACCTTCAGTCCGGGTCCACGAAGAAAATATCGGTCTTCCATTCCAGGAACTTCCGGTCCATACCATCAACCCGCGCCTTGGCGACTGCGGTGAAGATGATATCCTGGACCGTAGCGACGTTGTCGAAGCTGCAGCTCCGGCAGTACTGGAGTACTGGTCCTAGGTAGCTATCCATGATTCCATACAAGAAGTTTCGCAGCTGTTTGGAGGTGACGTGAATTCCATAGGCCATTCCGCAGTAGGCTACGAGCAGATGGCTCAAAGTTTGGTGTACATGAAGGTGATGGCGAGAGTGCCCGCTTATCGAGGAATGTTAGGTATTCGTGCCGGCCTCAGCGATGCACGACTTCTGTCTGGGCTGAGCATATGAATCGGCCAAAGTGTCTTTTTTTTCGCGCGACCCGTCCTGCTAAAATGAAAGATGAATAAATATTGGTTGTTGCGGAAAGGAATGCCGATTTGATGTGGTAAAAAAATATTTGTATGTTAAGAAACTCAAATAGAAACAAGGGGCAATGCTAAAAGATATTAAATTACTAAGCAATGGTAACTGTGTTGCTCAACTGACGGCAAAACTCGCCAAAGAGCGCTACTTTCCTACTTTTCCCTCAGGGTGTGGTGGGTTAGGTCGCCGGAGAGGATAAGTGTAGAGTATCATCAAGAGCCTCTTTATTGCCAGTTTCTCCCGAGTGCGTAGGGGTCCGCCCGCTGCCCACTTGAGCCGAGTGGGTATTAGGTCCACCGCAAGGTGCGTCGTTAGGGACTTCTTGGAGTCCTTGACCGCACATTACAAGCTGCGCATTCGACAATTTTTTGGATCGAGGCATGTTTCTAAACTTTTTTTCTCTGAAACAGACAGCAGGGTAGGACATAGGTAAAAATATATCAAAAGATGCGCAATAAAAACCTCTCTCTAATGGACAAAACTGTTTTGAAAAATCTCTCCTATAGTAGAAGAGAAATAAATAGACAAAGTCAACGCGCATTCCTTTCCGAACAACCTAATAGTATATAAATTTCGAATAGAAGCACTAATCATTTCCAAAAAGAAAAGTGCGAGGAAGTCTGTTCCAGCGTTACGGCATTTTTTGTATTGCAAGGCAACGCCTGAGGCTCCTCATTCTGATCGAAGTTGAAGGGTAAAAGGGATTTCTAGAAAAATGACCCTGAGCGCTAAATTGATGAGGTCATTTCCAGATATAATGAGAAATTCTTACGCGAGAAATAGATGAATAATTTAGGTCTCATTTGGTGGAAGAGATCGATCCACTGACTGCTATTTCGAAACCATCTTTGAAATGGAATGCCGAACAAGCAGCACTGTACACCGTGGTTATGATTGGTATGTATTGTAGATAGGGCGGTGACCAAAGTACTCCCGGTATAGGTGTGAAAGCAGAAAATTCTGAATAAAAGTTATTTTTCCTATGTAGTGCCCCATAAACTCAATACACTTTTTTGCTCGGGAACAACTTTTCAATACCGTTTAAAAAATGTTTTTCCTTCTTGTCCTCAAAGTATACGTTAAATGCAGCCTTCAGCTCTTCATCGAGGAAGATCTTTTTTATGTTGGGGAACAAGAAGTAATCACTAATCGTTTTCTCAATTTTCTTTTCATTTTTTCAATTTTTTAATCAGTAATCATTTTCTCAACGTTCTCGCGTCTGGTCTTCTTTCACCAAGGATAATTAGAATAGCATTGATGATAACTAAATGAAATTTTGTATTTATACCGGGAGTGTCGTTGTCTATTGGAATAATTCAAATTGCTTCCTCACTGCAAAAGTACCTCCATACTGAGAATACTTTGACCGGCCCTCGTAGCTTCAGTTTCTTGGAACTACACAACGGCCCTGTTTTTTTTTGTCCGTAATCAATGGTTGAGCGTCGCTTCGCTTTTACATCTGTCAAAATTGTCCTAACGACTCGATAATCTCAGCACTGTAAATCAGCTCGTGAAGAACCCTGTGCTGTAAAAAGAGTCATCAATCTTTGCGAATTTCGCTCAATTTCGGATGAATCGCAGAAGGCGTCTTCCAGTATCAAAGGGAACACGGATACGTCAGTACGTTAACATCAGGCACAGCGGTTCCGATGGTTCCTGATGGTGGGGGTGGTCGTATTAGTCTTGTTGTTGGGGGGGGGTGTATGTTTCGCGGCCATAGTGAGTTATCAGTGCATTCATGATGTTTTTATGGATATTTATCTGTTGTCTATATTAGGTACTATGTACGCGCCGTCCAGTACGATGTACACGTCGCATGCATACTACATTCCCCCCCCCCCCCCGCTCGACAACTTTTTCGCCGAGTATAAACCACAACCACAGTCAGCCATGTCAGCCATCGTACGAGCATGGGGGGGGGTCGTACCAGCCCCTGAAAAAAAGGGGGGGGTCGTAAAAGCTCGACCAAAATCCCCATCGAATGCTGTGCCCTGGTTAACATTCCACTCCAAGTATTGTGTCCCCGTCCAGAGTATCAGAAGAAAAAACAGGAAAAAAAGAGCCACAGTCTTGTTCGCTGCTCATCCTGGGGAGTGTCAGGAAACTGGGTTTGGCCTACCCATTCCAAATCAGTTGTTGAAGAAAGAGCTAGAGTGAGAAACCTGCTCCTCCTCCCCGCACCTTTCCTCTCCCATGCCACAGCATCCGCAGCGAAAAAAGCTGTACATAGACGTTGTTGAAAAAAATTTGCATGAAATTTCGATGCCATCACTCGGCTAAAATTTCGAAAATCACTTACGTCTTATCGCTGCAGTTAGGCCGAATACGGTCCACGTGGGCTTTGCCTTGGTCCGACTAATTGGGAAGCCCGTTTATTTTGAAAACGCGGCAGGTGTTAAAAAGATCAAAAGAAGACTCAAGAGAGGACAGCCCTCATGAAATAGATCTGCCTGTCTCTATCCTCCATCCATGATGGTGTTCAAAATTGTTTCGAAGCGGTTACCGATATATTTCGTGCGCTAAATCGATTGCTAGTAGGCGAAGGGTGTCCTTTCAGGGGTGCAGCGTCGGCACCTGTGAAATGGCGATATCAGCACAACGTCCCTCCAAATTTCGTCCTCCGCTACGACTTCCCTCTTACAGCGCCTGCCAGCGCTACTATCGAATTTTCCCAAAATTCAGCCGACAGGGGGCAGGGTAGGCACCTCCGTGCAACCACGAGCAATAATGGTGTTGCCACACCGCCAAATAGGAGGTGAAGCAGAAAATTGGATAAGAGCTTTCGAAACAAAGTGCGATCTTCCCTAATGATTTTCGCCCAACCTAGTAGACACTAATTCAGAGGCTTCGTGGATGCATGACAAGACATGACCTACAGCCGTGTTCCCTGTAAGTGATAGGGCGTGCAAGGGGCGTGGCTTGGAGCGCAAACGCGCCTCAGCCGCTGCAGATTTCCCAACACAGGCAGCGAGCTCAGGATGATGTGGAAGAAGGCTACCCTGATTGCGCCCCAGTCCGCACTGCGTCGCACGCATTAAAGGTTCATGACTGTACTTGTAATGGCGCAGCCGTTAACCCTGCTCCACCTAACTACCTTTACTTTCGGAAATTTTCCCTGAAGTCTCGTGCACAATTCAACCATTGGATAAGTTCGCGCGACGTCGCGATTGTGTGCACGAACACTGTACCTGGGCACACCCCCAATATGCCAACAGGGGAGGGGCGTATTTGGTCTGGGAAATTTTTTCGATGTTGATTTTTCTTGTTTCAGGGACGCTATAAAGAGGGGAGGGGTAACTGCCTTCTGGCTTTCTACCTTCTGAAAGAGATTGTTGAATTTTCGTGTTTTTTCCTGTTTCATATGTGGTGTGTTTCTCCTCCCCCCTCCCCGACAGGAGAATTTTCGGGAAATTCCGAAAAAACTGGTACGGCGTTGGAAAAATCTGAGAAAGTGGTAGGTAGGATGGGAGGAGAGGGGGTCGTTTTTCCTCGCGGTTTTTTCCATTTCACATGTGCCGTATACTACTACCCCGGCTGGACAGATCGATGAGAGGTAACTAGGCGGGTCGTATTAAGCCACCTTTTAGGGGGGAGGGGTCGTAGGACTCGACCGAAACCCCCCAAGTGATGATGTGCCCTGCACCATACGGGACGCTTCAATTTGAAACCAGTTGTTGTTTCCAAAAAAAAGTTAATTCTGAAAGTACATTCCTGGAAGGCGGGATCGCATAAATAAACAGAAAAGATTGGACATTCCAAAAAGCGACGACGCTGAATAACAGAAGCCTGAGCCAATCAACAAGACGAGATGACTATCCAAAGGAAAGTTAAGAGAGGAGGGACCATACAGGATACTCAAAGAAGGATATTTAAAATAAGCTGGTACTGAAGCTCAATGGCATTCCGAAGTCTGAGGAATTTTACACTACTTTCTTCCGATTCTCCTGTTCTCCAGGGTTCCAAATGAATGTGGCGCAACGGCAGATTCAATTTTCGTTTGACTCTTTTTTCCTCTTTTTCGCTTACCGAGAACAGTTCTGTTTTGGAATCAGTTCCAATCAATATCTGCTTTCATACTTTGCGGCAGCGTCCACTATCGTTTCGAGCGTCCAGCAGCTTCACCAACTGGTGAAGTATAGATATCGATCTAGCGTCTGCCAGCGTCTACCAACGACCAGCAGTGTTCGGCAGCGTCTACCAGCGTCTCAAATCGTTCGGCAGCGTCTACCAGCGTCTCCAAGCGTTTGGCAGCGTCTACCGGTGTCCATCAGCCTCTCGAGGGCTTGCTAGCGTCTGCCAGTGTCTGCCAACGTGCACCAGCTTCTACCTACGTCCGGGAGAGGAGAGTATGGTGCGATAGGAGAGGAGTACCTTCCTATCGCGCCATCCTCTCACACTCCCATCTCCCCCATACTCTACCAGCTGTTTGCTCCCTCGTATGCTCCCTCAGTGCTACAGTCTCCTCTCCTGCACGCTGGTGCACGGTGGCACACGTTAGTAGACGCTACATTGATATCTATACTTCCAAGCCCCTTGAGACGCTGGTGGATACTTGTAGGGTATGTTACAAGAGGATCGTAATTCGGCGCTGATGGGCTTCGCGTGCGACGTCGCGATCGTAAATGACGATGGTTCCAGGTCGAAGATGGCGACGACAGGCAATGTAGAACCGAAAATAGTCATAAATGTGTGTATTCTCGTAGCCCGGTGGAATCCGGTGCTCTAATCTACAAGCTAACACGACTAAAGAAGACGCTACGCCCACCGCCGCGAGCGGCGAAGCGGCAACTTACGATTCGCTTGTCCGTCTCCCCGCTGGTAGACGCTGGCAGACGTTAGATTGATGTCTACGCTTTCAAAGTCGACGCTGCCAGACGCTCGAAACACTCCTGAACGGTGCCGTAAAGTATGAACGCAGCTTCACAGCTTGTTTCCGTGATCCTAGCTGCTAAGATCAAGACGATACTCCCCCTACGAAATTTGCTCGCGCGGCAATCGCTACGCCGCGCGACGGACCTATGACGCACTCATCGGCGGGACTTTAGGGTAGTTGCGAGTGTGGAGTAATATTATGCGACTATCTTTTCTGGGATATCTAATGAATGCAATTTCATGATTCCGACTGTTTAACCAGATATATGAGAGAGGTGCCGTATGTTAGAAAAACTGAGGATGAAAATTTGAGCTATTGTACTTCTGATAGGCTGTTCATATTAGCCGCAGCGTCCACCAGAGATATAGCGTCCACCAGCGTCAGGTAGCTTCAGCGACCAGGAAACTATAGATATCGATCTGGCTTCTCACAGCCACTGCGCCAGCGTGTGCCAGCGTCCACCAGCATCTACCAGCATCCGGGAGCGGGGCACATCGTTGTTGAGGCATCTCCATCTCCAATAGGGGGTCGTATTTGGTCGCCAGGGGGGGGGTCGTATTTGGGCTGAGAAAAATTTATTTTGATAGTTGATTTTTCTCGCTTCATGGACGTTGTAAAGGGAGGGGGGTCGTATTTGATCATTTTTGGGAGGGGGGGGTCGTATTTACGTTTTGGCGTTGTGGGAGTGGCGGTTGACTTTTGGTGATTTTCCTGTTTCACGTACTATATGCCCCCTCCCGCTCGACAGCAACAAAATTTTTGGTACTATATGCCCCCCCCCCGCTCGACGGCTCGATTCGATGAGGAAGGACAGAGGGCTGGGGGGGGTCGTACCAACTCCCAAAAAAAGGGGGGGGGACCGTATAGAGTAGACTATACAGTCGTCATCCTTGCACTTGATAGGGGCGTGTCGGCGAGAAGGAGCGTGCACACTGTTTGAAGCCTTCTCAGCCTTTTCGTTGAAACGCGTATGCGACAAAAAGTGATAGAAAACGAGTAACACGAAGGATATAATACAGTAATGTCACTTCCTGGTTCAACGATTGGTGCAGTACGGGTGCGGGCGACCGCGCCGCACGCAGCCGCACTGACATTGACTATCAAGTGCAAGGATGACGACTGTACCCAACCAATGATATGCCCTGTCCGGAAGTGGAGAGTATGGCGCAACAGGAGGTAGCAAACAGCTATTGCGCCATACTCCACCAGCAGTCTGCCATCCTCCTATTTCCCCATGCTCTACCAGCTGTCTGCTACCCTCCCATCGCGCCATACTCTCCTCTCCCGAACGCTGGTAGACGCTGGTGCACGCTGGCAGACGCTAGATCGATATCTATGCTTTCCTAGTCGCTGACGTTGCCGGCGCTCGGAACGCTGGTAGAGGCTATAGTTGCTCGTGGAAGCTGCTGCAAAGTATGAAGAGATAGGCGGCACTTATCCTCTCTACATCACCTTCGTTCAACCAGAGACGTATGGAGTTGTATTGTATAACAATAGTTTGACAGGAGAGGTCCTGACGAAAAACTGAGTTGTTTTTTTTCAAATGCGTTGCACGTAGTTCAGTCGAAATACAGTGCGATGCCTTGTTTAGACGCTGATGCTCCATCAAGAAAAGATCCGCATCTGAGCGAATTCCTGCACTGGCTTGTGATTAACATTCCTGGACAATCTATTAACAGAGGCAGCGAAGAATTCCCGTACCGTCCTCCAAGACCACCAGTGGGTACAGGTATGATTTTTTTATATGGTTGAGCCATGTACTCGTGCAGCTGTACTTGCAAAGTCTTGTCGAATATTCTACGTTTCGGGACAACTGGCTAAGCAATGCTGTGCGCGGCGGCCGACATTATGCGTGCCGCCGAAATGCATGTCCTGACCCATTACGGTGAAGCGTACTCATTAGAAGTGGGGCGCACTTTAGGAATTACGTATGGAAGCTGCATCTGGGCCTCTGCATCTCACTTTAAGAGTTTAAATACAGGACCTTTGAGCGGCGCAGTTTGTCGACGGGGGGCATTTTGCTTTCCATAGATGTGTCGACCCATCTAGGCAGCCGTTTCTCGAGTTGACACGTTTTAGGATAGTGGCTAGACGATCTTACTTCAGCTTCACAAGAGTTCACAAGTTTTACCAGAGTGAGATTTGTAAACCGAATTTGCTGTTCAAACCCACAAACAGGTATGATAAATCAAGCTTTTCCTGAGCCTCATTTTAATGTCTTCTTCAACAATATGAGAACTCGATACACAATTCATTGGTAACCTCATTGGTAACCATACACCCCCGATCAACGGGAACTTTTGAAGGGAAATAGGAGGTATTGAGATAGCGTAGATGTAATGAAGAAATGAATGGAGTAGGGTTCAAGAGAGGTTTAAGGGGTCTCACTGAAGCAGCAAGTCTCCTCAGCGCAGTGTCGTGCTCTTGCTCTCCGTAGTGAGAACCCTTCATCAACTGAGCCAAGGATTTCTTTCGTACACGCTTTCAGTGTGGTGAGAAGTGGATAATTGATAACGGGCTTCTCTGGTGGGGATGGGGATCGAAACAGTTATATGAGCGAGGTAATCTGAAATTTCAGTTTATTTGATGTTTTCATGTAATATCATTTCCAGTACGTTTTCTTAATTAACTTTTACCCTTCTGCTTTTTTCAGTTCTGGTCTTATTCCAACCCTTGCAGAAAGTTGGTAACGATTCAGTTGAAAAGCCAGCAGATATCAGATAAACGTTTCACCCACTAATATCTAGCACAGTGAACAAAATTGAAT